AATTTTATGTGTGTGCAGGGGATAAATAATATAGTTATATAAGCGATGTAATCAAACCTTAATCTAGCCACAGTGGTGGCTTTAAGGGAATGGGTGCTAGAGGGTTGAAGCATTCAAATTTTTTGTAATATTAAATATTACTTAGATATCAGATACCATATTTACTATATACTGTATAGTGTAATAATTAGTGATATGCTGAACTTCTTAAATTGGAAAGACCGAATACCGAATATTTTGTTTTCAACATTTAAAAATATCAAATGTTTTATAAATTAATATTATTTGGGATCCAGAGCCGAATATTCGGTATTGTTCGGTACAGAATATTTGTTATTATTCAGTGCAGAATAATTGGTATAATTTGGTGTAGAATATTTAACAAAATATTAATACCAAAAATCATGATAAAATATATCATGAGTAGATTGTTAAAAATAATATGAATATATATTATTGAGAATACTAAAAAATTGACGGACAAAAATACCGAAGCCACCAATGACGGGTTAAAGTGGTGGAATATCAAATACCGAATAGTAAAATTGTATTTTTGACAAGATATTAATTAATTACGCTGAGTAGCCGAATATAAATTGATATCAAAATATTGGCCGAATAAACCGGATACCGAATAACTACCAAGTATTCGGCCATTCCCTAGTAGTTAGGAATTAAATATTAAATAAACAATTTTTCCTAAATATAAAAATCCTCTAAAAAATACTTAGGTTAACAAATTCTATACACTTTACAATGACTGGGTCTAAACTAAACACTTTAGCAATATTAAATATTCTTAAAGATATAATTGTAGATATCGACGTTATTCTCAATTGGTTTGCAAGAAAAAATAATGCAATTAGATGACTGATCAATCTAAACTTATAATTAACATATTTTTAGAAAGTACCTAAACAAAATACTTGTACATAATACATATGATTCGATTTTTCTGAACATTTAAATCCTAAATTATTAGTTTGCTTTTGTCCTGAAGTCGAATATTAAGGATCATTATTAGTAAAATAGCATCCACCATGAAAAAATACTATATTTACCACTGTCTGGCCGTTTGGGTTATGTTTTTCATAGTATGATTTTTCATCTTTTCTTAAATTAATATAATATTTTATAAATATTTTAAATCAAATATCATGTTTTTTTTATTCACATATTATTAAACTTGAATTTTAGCATTGTACTTTATATGTATATATCATAGTAAAATAATTATAGGTAAAGTGGGCCCACAAAATTTCTCATAAGCCCTAACTATTCGTTTATATTAGTACACACAGGTATTTTTATTACACAGATTTCAAACATCTCCTAGGTTAGTATTTCTACGTTTAATCGCGAACTAAAGAATATATAAGTATATATACAAGGTTATTTATTTATAACATTCACGAAAAAATATACATACAACATTTTAATCATTAATTTCCTTTTAAATTAATCAATTATTAACAAAATAAAACTTGGAAAACAATGTTCAGAATTTGAAGAAATTAGTATTTTATTTTCAATGAAATAGTCTTTAATATTTGAATATAATATAAGTACAAGTTTAATTTAATAAATTACAGTTAATTCTCGATAACTTGAAGTTGACGGGACTGTTGAAAAATTTCAAATTATCGAGAGTTCGAATTGTTGAGCAGTTCGAAATAACGAAAGAGCAAAAAAAAAAAAAAATTTGAATTAAGAAAAAATGTTTGTTTTTTATTATTGTACATAGTTATTAATTATTTCAGCAATTTAGGTAGTATAAGTTATTTATTGTTTTTAAAATGTAAATTTTAACTATGTTATGATAATATAATATAATAATAATATATATATATGTATTATATAGTATAATTTTTATACTATTCCAATTAAATTATTATTATAAAGAATTATTATTTTTTGAAAAAATCTGTAATGGTTTTCTGCTTCATTGAATTTAGCTTCATTTTTTCAATAGTATTTTTGGAATTTGATGGATTCATCATAATAAATTTACAAATGACTAAACGAAACTAAAAGAAAACTACATTCGGCTGACGGCTATCGTAAAGATAAATTAGGATTAAAAAATGAAATGGGTCTAGGGTTGTAGGTTCTTACAATATTAATTTTATAGTTATCGAAAATAATATGCTAAGTTTCTACACGATTGTATAGTAAATTATTAACAAAAAGATTATAAGAATACAGATAAAATAAATGTGCTGATTATACTTCGAATTGTCTGGTGTAACTTGCAAGTTTTCCCAAAATTTAATTTCGAATTACCACGCGATTTTCAAGGGACCAAGCATTTACTTTGAATCGCTGAAGGTTTTGAATTATCGGAGGTTTGAATTATCGAGAGCCGACTGTATTAGTTTTTTCCTCTTAATTGGATCTTTATTTATTTTGGTTGGAACGGTTATTAGTTATTAGTATTTTTTTAAATCTAAAGCAAAGCTTATTTGTATTTAATTATAATATTTTTATGTACAATATATTATAACAATTTTAATACTTACATTTATATGTATATAAATATATATTAAATAGGAAGTTATTCAAAGTTATTAATCTTAGTTCATATTTTGAAATTGAGATGTCTCTTTTTTTGTCTCGATGTTTATAATTGATCGAAATACAATTATAAAATGTGTAAGAATTGTTTTGTATTTTTAATTTTTATGGTTATTACTCTTCCGAGTCACTTATTTATTCGAAACACCGCACTACGATTAATATATACATAATGATTAAGGAACCTATCGATAAAATCCTTTGGTCAGATCCTGAGGAAAACGGCTCCTTACATAAGAGATTGAATGATCAACTAAATACTAGACTTGAACGTGGTCGTCTCCATGAAGTTCTAAAACAGTTCTTTATTTTATAATTTTTTTTTTATTATTTTTGTCCTTCTCTTTATAAATTTATTTAAATTTAGAAATTTTTAAAAATTTTAAATAAAAATAATATGTTGTATAATTATATGTTACTATGTATACTTTTTTAATATTGTTAAAATGTTAACGACTTTTAAATTAAGTTTAGTTGACGATTAAGTAAAGAATACTAAATAAAATATTTAAAAATATAATTCTGAGAATATTTTATAAGAAATTAAATATCTCTCAGATAATTGTACTATACTTTGTTAGACAATGTACAGATTTTGTGACATAAATTCTACAGTACTAATTTATATTAGTATTTTTTAAATATTACAATTATTATTTCGCTAATATTTTTATTTGTCTGTAGTTTAAAAACTTAATAAAATACTTTAACGTCTTTAACATTAAAAATATTTTGGAATTAATAAAATAATTAAAAATTAAATAACAAAAAACATGGTTAATTTAATAGTATAATTATAAGTAATCAAATCAATAATTAACTAAAATGCACTCAAAAAATGAGAAATAAATAAGTAAATAATAATATAGACAACTGTTATAAATTCTCACTTCGTAGAAAATTAAATAAAATGGAGTTTTATCGAATTTCGATGTAATAGTAATTAATATAATTTTTTTCAAAAGTCAATCACCGATGCGGAATCGGATGAATTACATGTGTGTATGTACTGAGTATATGTGTGTATACTGTTCTCCGCCAACGGCCTTCGGTTCGAACAATGCACAAGAAGCTGAAGTGTGTATGGGCTAGTTGAGTGTCAAGGCCTCCGAATGACCCACATAATTTCACATTCTTAAAAATTATTGGACTTTGTGTTATATAATTATTAAGAATTAATGATAATTTTTTAAAAAAAAATAATTAACAATATAATGAGATCGATGAGAAACAACTCAGACCTCAGCTATACTTAGAGTAATAATTTGATAGTGATGAAAATAAATATAAATATGAAGTATAATTACAATTTTATTTTATTTTTTCTGTTTCCAATAAATGTTTAATCACAAAAAAAAGCACATGAAATAAATTGCGTATAAATCAACAAAGTCATTTTTAATAATACACACATAATCATATAAATTGAATCCGGTTATTATTTTTTGGGTTGCATCCTAATATTATCTTCTGCATTAGGCGTGGCCAACGGTTTATTTTTTGTGGCCAGCAGCTACCAATATTAATGAACAAAAAAGTAAAAAATAAAAAAAATTTCATTTCGAGTCAAACTTTCTTAGAGAGGTAATTTGGTGTTTATAGTATGTTAGTATTATGTTAAAAATAATAATAAAATACTTATTATTATTTTTTTTTTTTTTTTTAAATAAAAAAATTAGTTACAGAAAATATATGTCAAATAATATCAGAAAGAAATTAAAAAAAAAAAAATTATTATTTAAATAATATCATACATAGTCATTTTTTTTTTTTTTTTTGATTTTTGATAGTTGAATTAAATTTTTAAATGATTAAAATACTTTATAAGTAATTTAATTGAATTTTTTGTGTTCATCATAAATAAAATTAAAACAATTGTATATTTCTTTTCGATAAATTTTTTTATGTGGTCCGCATGATAAAATATTCAATATATTTGGCCCAGTTAATCGTTTTTCACTTTTCTTCTATATCATTTTGGACATAATTATTTTACTCATAAAATACCTAATCTTTTTAGCTAAAAATAAAAGTAATGAATTATCAACGAGCAGACATAAATTTGATTATAATAAAGCGATTTATTTTTAATTGTTTAAAACATCAAATAATAACCTTAATTTATGACTGACAAAATATACTTTTAAGTTATAAACTTATTTCTGATATGATAACACTATAGTAGACAATATTTTCTCAATTAAATTTAAAATATTCAATCTGCTATTTTGTGGTGGTCAGTCTTATGTTTGTACTATTTAAAACTCGTTAAGTATTTACATTAGTCATAATTTTTATTAAGACTATACACATTATAACCATAATATTATCATTAGTTCATTGATTATTTAAAAAAAGCACATTAAACTATCAAAATAAGCATAAATTAAGCGTTATTGTATAAAAAAAACATTTTTTTTTTTCAGTAAAAAAGGAGATTTTGCATGGAATTCATGGTAGTTTCCGATCTGGCCAATTAACTGCCATCATGGGACCGTCAGGAAGTGGCAAAAGTACATTACTCAATGTTCTCGCCGGATACTCGTGAGTTCATTAAACAATAGTATTCTAATACGCGTCTATGTAAAACGTGTAATTCTGAATACATTAAATTCCATTATTAATAAATACTTGGATCATTGACTGTTATTGTCTTGTTCTGTTTAAGAAAAAAAAAAAAAAATCAAATAGGAAATGTAATTTTTTTCGAACAAGACAATCGAGTATTTTGATTGTCAGTTAATATTATATAGGCATATATTTATATGTGACCTCAGGGCGACCAAAATGTTTTATATAACTTAATATATCGGATAGATGGATGAAATTGGTACTAAAATTGAGCCGTGCAATATAACGATTAAAATTATTACTCGTAAACAGTGTAAAAATGGATAAAAACTATAATTAAATATAATAATATTATAATATTATATCGTTAAAACTTGTGAATCTTAAATTACTCCGTTTATAATATTTAATCAAATGAATACATCTTTACAAACAGTAATCCAACGACAAAGTAATGAAACTTTAAAATTTGCTATGAATTACAATTTTAAATTATCAAAACTAAGTGTTGAAAGTTAAAATACAGAAGTCTAATTTTTTCCGGAGTGGCTATAAAAATGAATACCATTTTATTTGCTGTTTTGAATGTTTCAAAAGGAAGCAAAGACACAAGAAAAACACAAATATTGAAATGTTTATAAATGTATTAACATAATTCGAATACAAATATTTTAAGTATGATGAGCGAAGAAGACGAACAAACAAAAAGTAATCGAGGAACCTAACTAACCTAACTAATCTAACCGACTACCTACTAGTTAGTAGTAACTACTAATCACTAAACAATAAATACTATGATATTTAATGAGTGTATGAGTTGTGAACACAGACTAAGTTATCATAGACTGTGGTTGTGAATAACCGAGCATTTTTCACTCGATTATTTCAACTGATTTCGAGTTTGTTACCAAGAAAATCATTCGATACTAAACATTGGCGCAATTAGGGAGGAACTTAGGAGGGTCTTGCTCTCCCAAATTTTTTTTATTATTTAAAATTTAATGATAATTTAAGCATGGGATAGTGAGATACATACTAAATAATATAAGTATATGACACAGAGAATTATTCAAAAGTAAATTGTATAAATATAAAATATTATTATTATAGTTTATTTTGTAATTCCTACAATCCTACTTAATTAATAATAATATTGCTATCTAATAAATGTGACGGACATGGGTAGAATATTGCGGTGGTGTTATGTCATATTTTATGTAAAACATACTACATAAAAGTAGGTACATGATTTTTAATAATCTAGTATGGTATTAATATTTTATGATTGTTTTTATTTCAATCAATAATTATTGTTATGTGTCTGCGGCAATAGGAGTATGGGAGGCTCACATTGACTAAATTTATTTGTAGGGCTTCAGTCCCCTCCCCCCCCAATATTTTAGACCTAGTTGTGCCAATGATACTAAACGAGTGTGTGAGTTATGACTTGTGAGTAATCGAGCATTTTTCACTCCAATATTTCAACCGATTTTGATACCAAGAGAAACACTCGGTAATTTCCAAAACAATCGAGAACAATCGATTATAATAAATAATCGAAATAATCGAGTATTTCTATTATTTTCTCTTGATTATTCTTATCACTAGTAAAAATGTAAATTGGTTGCTTCGGGCCGCAATCGGACGACGCCCAAAGTTTTAACAGAGTATTAAAGAAAACTATAACCGATAGTCGTCTCAAACCGTCGGATGGCATTTCCTAATATCTGTGCCCTACTAAATATTTTTCCAAATCTTTCACTATAATTTTATTATTAATAATTTCAATCCAATTGTATTTTACAAGTATTATTATTACCAATATTACATAGATTGTTATTATAGGTTTTAGAAAAAGTATTATGAAAAAAAAAAAATTAATTAAATATTAAAATTTTAAACTTTGACTTATCTGTGCTTACCTTGATCTAGATTAGCTATAAAAAAATTTATTAGTAAATGATATCATTCAAATTGTTAAAAGAAACTATAAGTTAATATATTAATGAAGTTGATTTGATAGATTTTGTTTGTGTAATTTATTTCGAATTATTTTACTCGATGTTTATTAACTATAAAGATTTTCAACATACTTATAAATATTTCTAAAAATAAATGGAGATTTTTTTACTTTTAAACTCACATACCGATTAATTACATTATTCGTACTTTCACTAATATCTTAAGAGTTAAAACAAATTATATGTTTTTATTAAAGTCATAACCAGTGGCGTACACGAGAGGGATATGAGGATATGGTTTAACTCTATAAATAATATTAAAAATAATAAAACTGAAAACTTCAATTACTTACATTGATGCATCTGTATAAAAATGGTGCTATATATTTTTATTAATGTACTTATACTTAAATATATACATATATTTATATATTTAAATATACACATATTCGATTGGTTTTCGATAAGCTAAGTTGTATTAGTCTATGAGTAAATGTATGATTTCCGTTTACATATTGGATTGAATAAATATGATTTGGCAGCCAATAATCTCGAATCGAGTTCCCAATAAACAATGGTCTGACAGCTGTACAATTGTACTTTACCCGAGCTCTGATACCTGCGAGGCACGTGGGTTAACGTCTCCGAGAATAATAATCACGTATATTCACGTGTAATATTATATGTACACAAATTAATGCATTAGTTACTTTATAAAATTATACATATATTGATTATTTCAAACATTCGATTTAATATAATTAAAATATATTTGTTAAACGTTTAATGTTTTATTTGAATGATTCAGGGAATAACTCTTAGTTTAAAATAATATAATCTTTGATACAGTTTTAAATGCTATTGAATGGGGAAACTGAGAATCTCTTATGGAGATTACTAGTATATTTTTAAAAATCAAGTCTATATCAAACTTAATATGGATACTTTTAAAGTTTTAAAAATTAAAGATAAATAGCAAATAAAAATAAAAAAGCTTAATTTAATTTTCTGCATGATGAAAAATGTACTATAGTCAATGTTATCATTATTACGTGATGTATCATATATATATATAACCAACAGTCCAAAGTCTATAGGTTAAATAGATTCCAAAAAAAAGCCCACTCCCCCACTCCCCCATTTACACTATTTACATTAATCATTAAAATTAACGTTCCTGGTTTTTTGCAAGAAAAACTAAGATTAGTTAAAAATTAAGACATGTATAAATCCATAATTTAATACATTTTGTTAATAAAATCCGCGTAACCGTTAGTTTCCTCCATAATATAATCTTTTCATTGAATTGAGACATGTAGAGGCTGTTGTCTCTTCATTTAATTTTTACTATTTCCATATCATTTCTAACGAAAAGTTTATTAGATAAATTATACAAAATTAAAAATTAAATCATACATTTTCATTGGTGTTTGTTTTAAAATTAAATTTTAATATTTTTGAAATTTCTATGAAATCATCAATATCAATTTTTTAATGTTTCTTTATTATTATCATTAAAGTTTTTCAACTTAAGTAAAAAAATTATTCTATCTAACATTACATTAAATAAATGAAGATTGAGTTTATTATTCTCTTCGTATGTGTTCTAGCAATTAAAAACTGAATTGACCGCCGAAATATATACTCAACGATCTACATTTTAAGTTATTCAAACACATCTACACACAAAATTCCGATTATAAAGAAACGCTTAATATTTGCTCTGTATTTTATTTCAATTTTATGTTTATAAGCATTTACCATAATATCATTTGAAATAAATTACAGAAGGTATATATTTATACCTGTCACATATATATTTTATAAATTTAAATTTTATGCGTCACATTATAGTGTATTTTATGTATTTCATTACACAAATTATGACTCATCGACGAAAATTAAGACAAACCAATACATAATGGTTATGCAGAATTATACACGTATGTACTTGTAAAATTGTTTATCGTCGATGACGGTTAGTATAGTATATATTTAGTTATATAATAAATAAATGTAGATTTATATAAATAATTATTACTAATATATATGGGGTCCCGCAAAATTCTGCACCAGACCCCGAAAACCATCAAGCTTGCACTGTTCATTACATTATATGTATAAATTGTATTTTTCGAAAAATGAAAATAATTGTATTTAAGTTTCGATTTTATTTTTTTTATGGAACTAATGATAATCGATTGTATGATCTGTATATATACATATATACATATTTTAAATGAATGCACATTAGAGAAATAAAAACTGTAAATATGTGTAAACAGGACAAGTGGAAGTTCGGGGTCTGTGTACCTGAACGACGCATTACGGGATGAAAAACAAATGGCGAACATCAGTTGCTATATACAGCAGGACGATTTCGTACGCGAACTACTAACCGTTAGAGAGTCGATGACGGTGGCTGCCCATCTCAAGTTACCTACTACCATGTCAACTCTATCTAAAGTCAGTCTAGTGGATGGTATTCTAGAATCATTAGGATTAGCCATTCACGAAAATACGATTGTCACACGGCTTTCCGGAGGCCAGAAAAAGAGACTGTCTATTGCGTTGGAACTTATAACCAATCCTTCAATATTATTCCTAGATGAACCTACTACGTAAGTATATTTATATATTTAAGTTACATAACATATTTCGTTGGAAATTTTAGAATAAAATCATTGTTGAAACTCGTTCAATTTTTGGATTTGAATTAAATAAAAAGTTTATATATTAAATAAAAAAGTCTATAGGTTATTAGTTGAAGTATATTAATCTAATTAAAATTCACCGTAATAATAGTTTTCAAATATGCAATGGAATTGTGTATGTTGTTTGTAAATTAAGATTATATCTCATAGTTTAGTATTATTATCTAATTAATTAAGTATGCGTAAATATTATTACAAAAAAAATAACATGCGTTATTTAATTTATTAAAAATGAAACACCGGTTTATTGCAGTTCTAAGCCATAAAACATGTTCTGATTCAAAATTATTTTTACAAAATTTTTCCATAAGTCGGTCACAATTTACGTTTTATTGAAAGTCAACGGTTCTGATATTACATATTCGTCTAACTACACTATATGTGTCTTCAGTATTTGAATATACTGTATTAAAGATTCATATAACCCAATTAATCTCGAAGGAAAAACATCATTAAAATTATTCCATATATTAAATATTTTCAGTTTTAAGGTTTTGGTTCTACGAATTCGTATTTTTCTCTTTTTTTTAAAGTAGCCCAATTTATGTAATTATATTATTAATTGTCAGTAATTGTTAATATCTAACTGTTATTATAATAAATGTACTGTACTAAGACGGACTGATAGGTCTAGAAAATAACAAAGCCACAAAACGAAATGTGGCTTTTTAAATATAGTATTAGTATTTTTAGTTTTTAAATGTTTTAAAAAAGTTAAATTTATTATTGTTTTGTAAACTGATTTAATACATTTTGAATAGGTACTCTAAAACAAAAAGAATTTATTTTTAAACAATTCATTTTTTATTTATTATAAAATAATTTAGTAATTAAAATTCTTATACCAATTATTGTATAATATTATGTATAAAATACGAGTGAGTTCGTTTTCCACCAAAATCGTACCCTTCCTTTTTTGGCCGATTCACTTTTCGACCAAAACAAGAATTTATGTAATAAATTAAAAATAATATAATAATGATATAAGTACAATGTTTGATTATGATAGAAACTACTATAATATATTAATGACGATTGAGGGTTTTACTCGCGTAGCGAGGTCTTAGGTTCACTTACAGAGCATAATCCCATTTGCAACAGTATCAAGATTTGTACAAAAACTAGGTTAGGCTTAGACTATAATTCCCCTTGGGGCAAAGCCCCATTCCTCCTAAAAGTGCCACGCAGTGGCACTCGAGTTAGTGAGTGAAGCCGGCAAGCGTAACGAGCGAAGTCCTAACATTTTTAAAATTAAAGTTCTGATTTTTTGAAAAAAAAAATGTTAACAATTTTCATTACGATAAGAGATCAAAACTAGATACAAAATATCGTTCTCTTTTATATTAATATTTTAATAATTATTGACAAAAATTGTACATTATTATTTTATTATTTTAAATTTGTTATATACATTTTTGTTTTGGTCGAAAAGGAAATCGGCCTATTTTATATTTGGTCGAAAAGTGAATCGGCTGAAAAGGGAAGGGTACGTTTTTGGTCGAAAATGGCCATGCCCTGAAATACACTATATTGTTGTCTTAATTATTTAATGTTAAAATGGCACTATAATATAATTAGTTAATATAATAATGAATGAAATAATGCTATATTTCAAAATATGGCTAAAAAAGATATTATTTCTTGGAAGTTTTTAAAATAACACCACGGAACTTCCAAAAAAATTTCAAACACAATTGGTTATACTAATATTTGGCTGAAGATAACCATAAAGTATTAAACATTAAAAATGCTTTCTAAAATAATTTACAATTTTTGATACATGGCCCTGACAGTGCGATGTGTTTGAGTCCTTTTAGTAAATGATTTTTTATGATTTTAATCCTGATTTATAGATATATATACGGAATTACACAATATAGATAATATTTCGTAAAATGGATACATAAACTTACTATATATATGTTATTTTGCATTATATGTTGTACTACTATAATTTAACGTGTTATAATGTTAAAATTTGAATTAAGTACTGTTGGTGACATTTAACAATACATTGTCAGGGATATCTTTAATTTTTTTTTTTTAATATTACATTTAAATATATGCTATACTTTGATGAATTAAAATATATTAAGCTTATATAAAGTCCAAATAACGAGGAGTAACCAATATTCGTTCATTTTAAAACTTTAAATTAGTTTTAATAAAACGACATTACATTATAGATTCTATACTTTTTGTATAATGTTTTAACTATAAATCATATTTTCTAATATGATTGTTGAAACATTATTTCCAATATTTTACGTTTAACAGAACTTATTTTTATCCCTTTATTTAGTAATAAGTGTAATATTAATTTAATTATCATTGTTTTCCTAGTGGTTTAGATAGCCTATCGTGTAGCCAGTTAGTGTCAATGATGGTCGATCTAGCACACAATCAAAATCGTACTATAGTATGTACGCTACATCAGCCCACCGCTTTACTCTTCGAAAAATTCGATCAAGTATACGTAGTGACTTCGGGTCAGTGTTTATACCAAGGTCCTCCTCACTTAATTATTCCTTATTTTGCTGAGCGGACGATAGTATGTCCACCGTATCACAATCCAGCAGATTTCTGTAAGTATACAATATTAATTTACTTTTAAATAACTTTAGACATATGTGTAAGTTACGTAAATATGTTAGTCCATCTGATAATAATGATTAATTTAACAATTATTTAATTAATTACGTATGTAATTTCATACATTTTAGAATGATAAAACTCACTAGATCTTTATGCTGATTGAAAAAAACGATAAAAAATATGTATGTGTTAGTCAGCATCGTATAATATTATTTAATTTAGTTTACGTATGAAATATTTTTTAAATTTTTTTAAAAATTGTTCTTTCGTGTCACTAAAGTATTAAAATTATGATCACTTTTAATTTTTGTTATTGTTTTAGTAATTGAAGTGGCTATTGGCGAGTATGGTACTACTGGTCTGAAGAAACTGATTGATTCAGCTCCGAAATACATATATACTAATGACCAACATCATTGTCATAAAATTTCTGGTAATGAAAATTCTTAAAACGAAAATAGTTGGTTATCATTTCGTTTTAACCATATGTTTTATTAATTAATGGTATGCAAATGTTTTATTTTTGTAGACACGTACCAGAAAAACAATTCAACGGACGAAAAATCATCAATTAATATTAAACAAGTTAATAGGCCTCCATCTTATTTACAGATCTATCATTTATATTTACGAAATATAATTATGTATAAACGAAACAAAGTGAGTATATTAATATATAACAAAAATGTTGTTAGTTGGTATTGTAAATAACATTAATATGTACATATTAAAAAAAAAATTAAACAAGAATATTATAGTCTTTTTGTTTAAATTTTTTATCTATAAATTATATAGTAAATACGTGTTAGTCTAATGCATGTCAATTAAATGCAATAACAAACATAAATGTTTTTAAAAAACAATCGGTTTTCTGCCTAGATTATTATGATGATCCTTGTACCGAATAATGAAGCTTTTAAAATTTTAATTTCAACAATAACAATTCGCTTCGCTGGCTACGTTTCCAAAGATATAGGAAATTAAAAATATTGAATGTTTTTACACAAACTAACGAATTTATAAGTAAAAAATGTATTAATTACATGATTAGGGACGCGCAAATAATATCGGTATATCGATATTGTGGTAAAAAATTTCGATATTTATCGTTCGTTATTTTATAACATAAATATATATTTTTTTAAATAACATAAATATCATTTATTATATTTATACAGGGCTATATTTAAATGTTTGCGCTCCCGTACACATAATTTATGCCATCCCTTTTCCTCCTCAAGTTAACATTATTATTATAGTAGGTATTACATTAATTATTTCATCCATGATCGAGATTTATTTAATATTTTGTATACATTAAAACATTTAATGTTCAAAGTATGTATTTCAATATTTATCTAAATAATTATGAGGAAAATAAACTTTGAACAACGTTTGAAACACAAGCCAAAATTAAAATACTCGTAAATTGCAGAAAAACCTTATCTATAACGACTACACCAGCCACAAACACGGAAACTCAAACTAAAAGTTGTCCATCTAAAGTAAACTTACCTGAAAGCAATGATGACATCAAAGTGTGGTCTTGTATCAAACATTAATAGGTACATGATTAACATGAAAATTATAAAATATTAAAAATTAAAGTATTAATTTTCCTCAAAAATGGTTCATAGTAGCCAGCGTAAAATAATTGATTCCGATTACTAACAGTTATGCGTCATTTATGTAACACGTAGACCGGTGGTATATAGGTACAAACTTAATAGAAAATATATATCTATTAATTTTAGTATCTTACCACTTAAAGCTCTTAAGTTAATATTTCAAGAAGTACCTTTATTAAAAAATAACTGAACTTACATAATTTACTAAATTAAATAAAAATATGAGAAGAAATTAATACACACAATAACTATGTATAATTGGATAGGCACTATAATCATATGTTTCAAAAATCGTATATTCTATCAAGACTGAAGAAACTAGAGTTGTATAACTTAACTCCATTAAACTAAAAACTTTAAAGTTACAACAATGTAAATAGTCCAAATTGAAGTTTTAGAAGTGTAATGTTATACTTTATAAGTTAATTTATTTTAATTGATGCATTGTCAGATAGAAAACACCAAAAATACATCCAAATACATGGTATGCATTTTTATACTGTAAATAGTAATTCGCAAAATAATCCTATTTGCCAATATACTCCTTAAAAAATAAATTAATACCTACAACCTCTAAAAATGCTTATTAAATCAAGGTTAAACCTATCGAGAAAAATAAATTAGGTTTAAATATATATTGAAATATATAAAGCATATATAAAAACATTGTATACAAGGTAATAATTACTAATAAACTTTAATAACTATTTGTATTACTTTGAAATCAATACAATAAAAAACATGTAATTTTCTTCAAATGTTTTTGTTTTACAATTGTGTTAGATAATTTTAAATTTATTTTAATACAATATTACAATAGTATTTTTTTGGCTTTTATAGAGGCGAATTTATCAATGATATTATCAAATGAAATTGTCTTAACTACATATTTTTCTATTGATAATATAGCCAGTATATACCAGTATGATGAAACGATTTTGACATATTGTTGATCCAAAATAATTTTTTATAATTTTTTGCTTGCTGAAGCTTCTTTCACAAGTAGCTGTTAGGAATCGTTAAAAATATTCATAGTTCCACATCTAAGTTCAGATATAAATACTGTAAAGAGTACTGATGAATATGCTTTAGAATATCTATTTTTGTAATCTTAAGTTATTTTAATTTTTAAATGTTGTTAAGTTTGGTATATCGTACGTATTATTTAACAAAATAATTAAACAAATTTAAATAAATAAACATTTTCAAATATTTCGTGAAAAATATTACATAAGTAGTGTTGAAGTTTGCGCCCCTCTTAGAATTGCGCCCCTAGCCCATGCCCTCTTACCCTGCATTAAATATGGCCCTGCACCCGCACGTAAAACAAATGTCCAAAATGTAAATCAAATAAGTTCAAATTTGAATTTCTTCAACTTATGAACTAAAACTGTTATAAAAATGATAAAAAAATGTAAGATCATAGCTAGTTTAGTTAAATTAGTTTAAGGTTATGGCGCATGAATAATTACACGTCTATTCCATATATTGTCTCAGAGTAAAATTTAATTTACGAATTCCAGTTGAATCTTCAGTTGCGGATCATCGCCCATTTATTAATTGGTTTAATTTTCGGATACCTATACCGCGACGTGGGCGACGATGCGTCGACGATACTCAGCAATATGGTGTTCATCTATGGTACCAATTTATTTTTGGTATACACCGGTCAGATGGCTGTCATCGTATCTTGTGAGAATAATATAATAATAAAGTAGTGCGTGTGTTCTAACAGTTGGTTGGCCACGTATACGTGCATCTAGTATGTATTTGTATGTAATATCAATGTTATCGTTTGTTTAGTTCCGTTGGAGTACAAAGTCTTGAAACGAGAACATTTCAACGGTTGGTTCACTCTTTTTCCGTACATGATATCGATACTACTGGTCGAAATACCGTTTCAGGTAACATTTAAAATACAAAGATAGTTCCACAATCAGTTTTTGATTTCTCGCGAACTCACAGTATACTTTTAAAAGGTCGTAAGGCGTTTGGGCACAGAACAATATTTTAAGCTAAAATTCGGAAGTACGATTGGGAACACACGTTTAGGTACACTTTTTTTTTTTCAGACCCCAAAAATCAATACAACGTTTGGGTACATAATATTTTTAAATTAATATTACGTTTAGGTACACATTTTTTATATTAGAATAATTTAATTTGCTTAGGTATTTATATTTATTTATTTATTTTATTTTTTAGAGCCTATTAGCGTTACCCAGGAGACACCGCGAGGAGGTTGACTCTTAGTCTCCCAAAATGTATTTACTTAACTATATTTAATTTTTTTCCGGCAAAAAGTGGACTGATGTCATATAGATAATTCCTTATATCATTGTCAATTTTAAACTCATTATATTTTTTTAAAATATACTCAACGTTATCTGAATCCTCTTTTCTTGTAATATTTTTTATGTTTTTCTTAATACTGCATATCTTTAAATAAGTTTCTTCTTGAATTTCCATCAAGGTATTGATTATATTAAAACAATTTGGATGGCTTGTATTAAACTGACTATTAAAGTCTCTATGAAATGCTTCGGGCCCATTTGTTGTCCTAGGATCAGATTATGGACCTTCTGTCCACATATATGGCGGAAAATAACTATTTTCATCAACGAAAGTCTCTTGAATATAATCCGTAAATGTTTCAGCGTGGACTAGTGCATCTGACAATAGAGATAAAAACCTTTGCTTACCTCATCGGGCGATATAACACTAAGACCAAAAAAACTTTGAAGCCATTTGTATACTTCGGTTTTTTGCACGTAATGCTTATGTAATTCTCTGTAACTTTGTATTCGATGAAACCTGGCTTGACTCAAATGAAAACGATAACCTGATATTGAACAGTTTTCGAAAACTTCTAATACTGCATTGTAGGCCGCTTTCTCAAAGTCTAAATCAAGGCTGGTCATTAACGAGTTAAAAGTTAAAATTAAGTTAATTTTAATTAAGTTAATTAACTCTTTCTTTTTTTACAAATTAACTTTTAACTTAATAAGTTACTTTTTTTTTAAGATTAACTTATTAACTTTAAGTTAATTTTATTTAAAATTATCTAAATTAAGTTAATTTTAGTGCAAAGAATAATGAAAATTATTAAATGAGGTTTTTGGTACATTTATAATTTACTATTATAATATGAATTTCCTGTAGACGAAAATAATATGAAAAATAACTTTAATAGCTATTATATTTTATCATTATATTTTTATAATATTGTTATTGTATAAACACTATAAATTCATGGAAATCCTAAGAATATTCTGTTAAAATAGTAAATACCACGAGAGCGAGTATTGATGGGGGATTAATCACAAAACAACTGTGGTATAATTTCCAATATAATTTCATAATTCAACTAGCATGTGTTCTGTTCATATCTCGTTAGAATTTATAATATATTGTTATTAGTTTATTACTTTATTAGCTTATTATATTTCTGTGAAAGTTTATTATTTCTTTATTAATTAATTAGTTATTTATAGTTATTAATTAGCTAGTTAATACTTATATGTATTATTTTAAATTTTCTCAGTAATTTTCTTGAGCGTAAAAAAACTAGTATTATGTGTGCAATTTTTTATTTTTGCAAATTAGATAATTTTAACTTTAAACTAAGTTAAGTTATTTTTTTCAAAGTTAACTTTTAACTTAACGAGTTAACAAAAAAAATATAAGTATTTTTTAATTTAACTTAACTTTATTATTTTAAAATAACTTAACTTAACGAGTTAAAAAAAATCGTTAACTTGCCCAGCCTTGGTCTAAATGATTTTTTTTAATGTGTAAAGGTTTTTCGTGGAATTGAAAAAATTATTGTCTTATTTTTAACCATACGTCAATGTAAGCTTGTTGAGATTTTGTTTCCATGAAAATATATATAATTAGTAAATAGAATCCATTTATGTATACATGTATCGTATACAGTGGCGTAGCCAGGAACTTTTTATGGGGGAGAGGTTCAGCAAATTTATATATATTTAATCTTATCAATATAATTTTGACTAATATTTGTATTGATCTCGGTATTTTTAAATCTGGTTGACTTTTTTGACTCAGGTAAAAAAAAAATAATTAATTTTTCTAGTCTTCTTATTCGTTAGAGAATTTTCCTATAATAATAAATAATAATAATAATAATAATAATAACAATTTAGGAACTAGAAACCAATATAGAAACATAAATATTAGATATTAGAATATTTTCTGTCCAATCACTTAGGTATACGAAAAATTAAATTTTAAAAATATCTTACCATAAGGGAATGTTTAGACGTCTTGGAATGATGTCAAATTAAAATAAAACAAATATAATAGAATACAAATGTCAAATATAAACGAATAAACGAGTTGTAAGTAAAACAGTGAGATACCAACGGGCAACGACCAACTATTTACTATTAATTATTAGTTTTACACAATAAGGTGCTTGTGTTAAATGATCGGCGAACCAAATATGCAATAGGTATACCCAAAATAAACTTTAAATACAGACAATAATATCGATTCTATCTCAGCTATCGGGACTATACGACCGATTTAGAGTCAACCGTTGTAGAAAACCTAAATAATATGTTCCCAAACAAAAATTATCAAAATAGTAGTAAAATATCTAAATATGATCATAATATTATGATGTGTGTGTGTGTGTGTGTGTGTGTGCAGCGTGTGTATAATACGTTTATAGTGTTTATACAAACTATTAATATGATTTCCAAATCAAAATTCTAAGATATAAAAATATTAAAGAAAAACACCGTGTTTCATGTAAAAGTTAATTTACCATCTCAGATTATATGGGGGAGGGGGGGTCTGACCTCCAAACCCCCCATGGATATGCCACTGATCGCTTACATTTGAAGGAAATGTTTAAGCGTGTATGAAAAAGTACCGTCAGCAAATATATGTCATGCATTATTTAATAGTGACAAGTTACTAGCAGTCGTAAAAATAGGAATACTATCAGCAGATTCCATAAAACAAAATTGCTCACCATTTAAAAAAAAAAAAATCAGTTTTTTTATATATCATAGCTTTTGCTTCTAACAAAGACTTTAGAATTTTAGAAAATAATTTTCTTTGAGTATCGTACATACTTTTACGAAATAAATGCCCGTCAGAACGAATGAGATTACCTGAATCTCGACAATTGCGGAGTTCTTGTCTCATGAGTTTGTTTGGTTTCGCATTTAAATCTGTAGTTGCCTTTCTTTTTAATACTAACGTTTCTTTTTATTTTGTAACATTTTCTTCTTCAAGAGCTTCGTGATTGTTTCTCCATGAATCGAAATTACCCATTTTAAATTTTGAGATAATTTTGTTGTTATGTTATACTTACGATTAGTACAACGAAACATTTTACTGCTTTTATTTTTCTAAATTCACCGAATTTAAAACGATCAATAATCACACACTTTTTACCACGACGGGTTTCAAAAACTTCAGTAATACGATTATCCATTATTTCGTACCGTTCACTATGACTTTGTAAACACAACTGAGAGTTGAGACACTGTCACACTGAGCGAATTTGTAAAGTTATATATATATATATATATATATATAATATATTGATGCAGGCATAATAAATATTATAGTCAATAACAACTAACAAGTGTATAAAACGTATAAATTCGTAGTCGCGATAATATTAACGGTTTGGAGATTAAGTATCGAGCAATAAATGAATATACCACTATTGTAGATTACGTATTTATGGCGTGTACCCAAACGTGTCTTGTTATGTTTATTCAAACGTTCTCTGATTTACCAGGTAAAAATATAAAATACCTTTTATTTTATATGGTCAAACGTTATGTTTATTTGTATCCAAACGTATTGGATTTTGGGTCAATTTTCGATTTTGTGACCAAACGTTCATCGCCCTTTTAAAAAATCTACTTTCGTTGAATGCTGTTTAATGCGGCTATTCTTCTTTGCAGATTTTATGTTGTCTAGTTTACATTATACCGTCGTATGTGTTGACCGGTCAACCGATGGAGTTGATGCGATTTAGTTACTTCACCATATTTCTAGTGGTTACTTCTCTAACATCGCAGAGTACTGGATTCCTGTGCGGAGCTGGTTTACCAGTAAAGGTTAGTGTATTTTAAACATTTACGTACATACGTAGTGAAAAGGTACAGTTTGTAAAATTTGTACTTTTCAAGAACTTAAAGGAATTCCGAAATAACTTAACTGCAAATAAAATTAATTAAAGTTTTGGATAATGTTTAAACATCGTTTGTAACTAATCCGTTGTTTATTAATTTTGGTTTCTGTGATTAATAAGATAAATTAATAATTGTCGTACACAGTGGCGCACACATGATTTTTTTTCGGGGGAGGGGAGGGGTCAAGGTAAAAATATAAAACATTTTATAATTAAATTATGCAAATCCTAAATATATTTTGACTTAAATAACAGAATAGACTATTCTATAATCAATGATACTAGGTATTCAATACTAGCTCTTCATATTTCAAACTTGTAAAATTTGTAAATTTTAACCTAGACATCGGAAAAAATTTGGGGGTGTTACAACCCCTTAACCCCCCATGCGTGCGCCACTGGTTGTACATGTATTTATTTATCCGGAATATTAATGGACGATATATATTTCATTATTTTATTGTTTTTGTTAATTTTCCGTTCCGGTTAAATTCAAATTTAGTTAACCCCAATCAATATATAAACACGTAATATATATATATTAGTATTTAGATACATGAATATATAAATAGAACAAAATTAAGTATAATAAAAAAATAAATTTTCTGTTGCAGATTTCTGTTTTTATTGGACCAGTGTTTGTCGTGCTTTTATCTGTTTTCGGGTTCGCAATACGGCTGAGAGACACACCTACTATTTACATATGGGTCCATTACTTTAGTTTTGTCAGAAGTTCTTATCAAAGTCTTGTATACTCACTATACGGTTTCGATAGAAATGTTTTACCGTGTAAAGACGAAATGTATTGCCACTACAAAAATCCAACGAAGTTTCTTTCTGAAATGGAATTCGATCAAGTTCACATGAATTTCGAATTCCTCTACATATGCTCTGTTTTCCTATGCACTTATGTCCTGACTACCACGGTAATATGGTACCGGTTGAATAAACGATAGCTCTGACAAACTGAATGAAATCAAGGTTCTGGCCGTGGTAAAAAGATCTTATTAATACGTGTATAAATTTTTAATGATTTTATACTTTTTTGTTTATTATGTACTCATATATAATGTTCATGTCTACTTAGTATAACTATTTTTGTACTATATACCGAATCAAATACTTATAATTGTGATAATATGTAAAACTTATTTTTTACTCGTGGTATGTTTGTTAACCTAATAGTTTGTTACTATTAAAGGACATACATCTGGTAATTGAGTTCCTAAAAAATTGTTTTTTTTTTATGCAATGCAAAATTATAAAGTAAATTTCCATAATTGGGAATGAAAATTAGTCACTACTTTATTTGTTTTACACATTTTAAGCTTTTTAATACAGTTTGGTAATATTTTAAAATTTTAAAATATTTATACAACATTAAATATTTTAATAATTATGATACATTTATCGATGTGGTGTATTTTAACCAGGAAAATATAGAACTTACAAATAAAGTTTCATTATTGGACGAGAAAATAGTTAAATAACTTTGAAAAGCATGCGCGCTACTATTGATGGATATTTGAAACAGCTGACTTTATTATTTTACTCAAGTGTTCATATTTTTATTTTCGTTTGTTTATGTGATGGTTTTTAAAAATTATATTCTATTCGTTTAACCATAATAAATAATACAATAATAAAAAAATAAAATAAAAATGAGTAATAGCTAATACTCGTCAATTAATATGTAGTAAAATATTTATTTAAATATTACAATAAAATATTTCTTTTCCCCTATGTATTGACTATAACATAACAATGTGTGTTTATTTTTTTTTAAGTTATCATTTATCGATAAAAATTGTACTTAAGTATAAAAAAAAAAATAAAAAAAATAGGTACATATACAGTGAAGTATTACAACCGTTAGAAAGTAGGTGATAAAATGATGTAACCATGCTAATTGAGTAAATACAATATCTTTTGAGTCAAAGAATCTGATGGAAAATATCTATTAAAAAGTTACCAAACTTCGAACACCACGTAATTTATATAGCTAACAGTTTCTGCAAATATATGTACATAATTACCCAACAAAATCTACCATACGCAGGTGGATTAGTTTGATAAAAACTATCCAGTTTACTAAGCTACCTTTATCGAGCGCACTACGATTATGATTAAACACTAAGAACAATATTACGAGTATATAAAAAAATAAAAACAAATTCGGTAATATATTGATAGGATCCAGAAGTCCAATACAATATGATTTATTCGTGGAGTTTGCTTTTCGTGGAACGTGTTTAATTATACTGTTTTTTTTTTTTTTTAAGTATTTTGCTATGAGTTAGATTGAAACAACACTCCAGCAAAAAATATTTTTACTTTGTTATCTTCTTTTAAGTATTTTAATAATAAGGAATTAACTTATATATTGTACCCCGTATATACATTGGGAAGAACAAATTATGTACGAAATTATAAAATATCGATTGAAACATTGGGGATCATAACAACTATTGTCCGTTTTGAATGAGTCACAACGACATTATTAACGTGATAATTATTTATGACATATTTAGTCCCATTATTACATACCAACGAAATAGTTTTGATAATAATAAATATTGTCAATGCTTGAACTTTTATAAAAATTATATTATAACATTAAATATCATATACGAAAAATACAATGCCTTGTGATAAACAAATACAATATAAATAATTACAACATACATTACTTTGAGTCTATGAAACTTATTAATATTAATATATAGTTAATAAATAAAATTGACTAATTTACTCCTTTAAATTCGAGTAATCACATCTCAACAACTTCTATATGAAAACAATAAACATAGTTTTATAAGTCTTCCTTATAGTGTTCTGAATAAGCATAAGGTGCAGTGCTTTTGGTACTCAAATAAAAGTTGCCTCTTGCACTGAAAAATAAAAAAATAAACCAATAAAATACTAAATACTTAATAATATTATGACAAATTCATAATGTTTAATTTTCAAGATCGATTCAAAATTATGAATGATACAAAAAAATGTAATGCAGGATCAGATCAACAAAATGTTGCTGAATATTAAACAATTACGCTTTTATTATTAATACTGACTGCCTAGAATATTTTAATTGCGACAAAACAATTGAAACAAATAGACATAAGTAAATTGGAATGCTTATAACATTTTTTTTTTATTATAAAAAAAAGTATATTATGCTATAAAAATAATTCAAACATATTTTATAGCTTTTGTTTGTCTTATAACTAATAATGTTTAACGTGCCTTGAGATTAAGACTTTGTCAATTATTACCTATACAGTGGTTCTAAATGCAAAATTCTTAGAGTAGATATATACATATATATATATATATATATTAAGAAATATGTTTATGAGTAGATATATACATATAAACATATTTCTTATAAAAAAAATAGGTTAAGTTTATAAAAATGTTTTCAACATACCTGGTTAAAGCACCATGTCCCAACGGTGTTTCAAAGTTATGATCACATTTATGGTTAACGTAATGCACCCATGACGAACAATACACCGCAATCATAGACTTATGATGATATACTGAATCTTCGTAAAGACTGTATGCTCTCGAGTGGCTGCAACTTACTGTGAGAAAACGATATACACAAATATATAATAAGTAATTTTGGTAATATACAATTATTTCATAGGGTAAAGAAATTGGTGATCATGTAGATTTCCCGTACGAAAAAAGCCGGCAGTAGATCAAAATGTTTAACAATTTTTTTTTATAAAGGGAAAAATGATTAAATAATCAATTTTTGCAGTTATTCAAAAATATTTTGGACACATATATTGTTATACTATCAAACGGGTAAAAATGACAGAACAATTTTTATTTAAAAAATAAATTAAAATTTCGTTTATTATATTAACCGTTAAAAATTAAAAGTAGTAAATCCTCTCCTCACTTTGACTGACTCATATTTTAATTAGATTATTGCTTTTTTGTGCACGACTCAAATTTGGTCGGTAAGTATGATACTTTAAGTGTGAAAAACCGTGGTTTACACTGTAAATACTAACAAAAATTAACAGTAATAGTACTTTTTTAGGAGATACAAAGGAAATATACATTTTGGTGTGCACACTTTATATGCTAAAATCTAGCAGATTTAATATGTAAATATATATTAATTTACAACCAAGATCGATTTGACAATAGTTTATTTTTAGACTGTTGCCTTTTGCACATGAGACGATGGTGGTCTTTTTTTGAAGAGGCCTGTCTATGATGATCCGATTTGAACCAAGGTCGATATACGTCGGCACTGTCACCTTATTTCGCTTTACCTCTAAGTTAACTTTGTAATGAATGATATTATTATTATATTTTTTTTTTTTTTTAGTATTTCCATGGTCAGCTCTTTCCGGAACAGATAAAAAAAAAAGTCAAAACCGTAGAATTTATAATATTTTTCAAAAACAAATAAAAGACAGAAACCAACGAAATTAAAATGTGGTTTGGATATGAAAAATTGATTTACAAAGTCCAATTAGTCGCGAAAACTTGATGCCCTCATAGCAGCCCGGCTGGGGTGGACTGCCTCCGTTCGGATAGAAATCTGCATGTCCTAAAGCATTGAAACAGCCTGTAGATCCACCTGAAGTATGGATCACATCCACGAATAAAGCATCCGTCCTATCAAGTCCTTTTTTTTGAAATTTTGCATACTCAAACCCTGGCCCGGCCGGATCGAGACCTATTATAGCGTACAAATCAGGAAAACAATATTTATATAATTATTAGTAGCTTATGATTACCGTAAGCGGTGAGAACATTGGTTGGATAGGTTAGAATCGGTGTTTCATTGTATCTGTACGTAAGTACCTGTAATCCGGCCAATTTTATTTGTACCGAAAGAAGAACCACACGCTCCGGCTATGTGTGCTCCGAGACTGTGTCCGATCAGGTGTATGTCTTTCGGTTCAACGATACGTAGCCTCACAATATTCGCCAACACTTTGGCCAGCATTGAACCGATTTCCGACGTCATCAGTACTGACATCGGGTAATTTATGTTCGCAGATATAGCTCCCCAATCCACAGTCAGTACATTAAATCCTCCAGTGTTGACATAAGCTAAATTAAAACATTACTATAATACTTAGGCGCTAGACCGTCGCTATAAGAAATTTTTTTTTTTTTATATGCAAATACATAGTAAATAACTTTTGGATTCGAAGCGATGAATGTATCCTGATAGGTGCGCGTGATGATAAATATGCGCTCGTTAATTACAGCACTCTTTTTTTTCACTCTACATACGCACCACAACTAAAGCCGGATTCACGCTACACCGTGCTTTGTATTTTGTACTTTTTAAAATTTACGATACCAATACATACCACGGATCTGTTCTATATTTACTACCAATCATATCTTGGATACATATTACGATATAATATAATATGATAAAATTATAATGTAATTGTTATAGCGAGTTAGGCACCTGCCTAAAGTGGCACTTTAGTAGGGAAAATTTAAATCAAAAAATTATTTGCGATAAAATCTATATCTCAATACCGATTAATTAATTTTTTTACCGAAAGCGAAATCGCTGAAGAATGAGACATGGATAAACTTGTACAGAGCTTTGTTTTACTAAAAGCAAGATAAGTCAATTTTAAATAAAATTTAGTTTGTTTTATTTTATTTTATCAATATTTTTATGATGATAATTTGTTTAATTTTTGAAGATTATGATAAAGGTTTAGTTAATTGTAAGATTAAAATTGAAAAATAAAGCAATAAATATATGATAACACGAATTTCTAAAATCTAAATATATGTACCTAATGAATTTATAATAAATCATAGAACTTTACAAATTGTACGTTAAAATTAAAAATATATACAAATATCCCTATAGTCTCAACACTACTTATTATTTCTTTAAAATAAAAAAATAAAAATATTTTTCATATAAATATATCACATAAAAGTTAGAGGGAGGGGCTGAGTTAAAATTAGAGTTCATTTTTTTTTTTTTTTTGAGGTAAGAAAATTTGATTTTTCCAGGTGCACTATTTTTGCTTGATCCCGCCGTGTACATAGGGAGAATTGACTAAATTCAGTACTCCCGCGTTCAAAAGTCGAATGGAATCAACTTCGCGGTAGTACATGATTACTTCGGTAACGTGTGATTAATTTTATACGAATTCACATAATATAGATGTACGGTGTGATATGACTAAATATTCAGTCCCGTGGTTCAGCCAATTCGAGACAATTATTTCACACGGCATGGTGTAATGTTAACCCGGCTAAACGATTAAAGATAATGAACATGATCGAATGTAATAATTAGAGCTCTGATTTTAATGACCAAAATTTAATAAAAATATGCATTATAAAATGTCAAAATACGCAATTATATGCCATAAAATGTATTAAATATGCCTATTTTTTCAACAAATATATGTAAAAAAATAGTTAATATTAATGCAAAAAAAAGTCTATACTCTTTTGAGTATGTATTTAAAATAACTTTATTACAAAAAACACAACTAATATATACGGAAAAAACTATGAATGAAAACAAATTCATAGTTTTTTCGAATAGTAGATCGAAAACAAGATCTACTTAAGTTAAATTTTTCATAGGTTAAGCATTTTAATTATTAGGGTTTCACTGTACAATAATAATTTTGGTGATATTTTCAAATTTTAAGGACCTTCGAAGATCCAACAAGAAATTTTTGTAGACTGAAAATTACACAATTAACAGTAATGATTAATAATTTATAATAATATGGACAATTTTTAATATTATATTTATAATTTATAAAATATATGCTATTTAATCTAGGAACAATCGATATATGCATTTATATGTTCAAAAATGTCAAATATGCAAAAATATGCTAAACAAGTTTGCATATTTGCAATTGAGATTTAATGTTTAATGAATCGAATTTATATCATATTAGGATATAAATCTGGTCACGCGAAAAAAATATGCAAAATCATATACATCCGAGCTCTATTAATAAAAATAAAACGTTCAAATGATTTCAAACCGTTTGTAAATGCGTTTCACGAAACATTAGTAACTCAATTGCAGCAAAATTGGAAGCCGAAAAACGGCAAGAGCATGCACTCTACACTAAGGCACACGAAAACAAGGCGTAATATTTGAATCACTACATATAACGCTCCGCATTCGACTGTCATGTCGTGAATGGCCGAGATGTCTATAATTTTATGATCCAAAATAGATTTTCAACAACAGTAAATTAATAATCATAAAACAACACAATAATAGTATCGATTGACGTGCTCGCACGTTTTAAATTTCAAATATTACACCCAGGGCCGTATTTAGGAATTTGACATCAGGTAGCAACAATAAAAAACGCCTCATTATACCAAATACAAATTTCTGCGGGTTGAAAAAGATCTTTTTGAAGAAAAATTAATTGCTGGTGTACACAAAAACATTCTAAGTGCAATGTCAACATTAGGAAATATTGTTTGTAAATCTTTGAATCTATCAACAGTACTCGACCATTACCGAGTATGTGTGTATGTGTGAGTCATGTCACCGTGATTGGCAATATAAATTGTTTTTTGAGATACAATTTATGTTTTGTAAAGAAGTTTCACTTCAAAAATATTAGATCATTAAATATTGAAAATATAAAAAAATTAGCCACCCTCTCATATTCAGCCGGCCAGGACAACAGCACCCTGTAGCTCCCCCTTAAATAATGCTCCAATTACACCGTACATTCGACGATTTTGAATAAACAGTTTGACACCAGTCGCGCTACAATCGAGTTTAGTGAAACACATTAAAATTACACCAATCATATTATTAGTGAAGTTAAAAACAAATATTACCTGTCTTAATGTTGAACACACCATTTGTTTGTTTAGTTGAATCAAGCCATCCGTGAATTATCACTTTTAAAGGTAAATTCGGAATCCAATATTTTTTTATTTCGTTTTCGTAACCAAACTTTATTTTTATCGATTTATCATTTCCACGATACCTACAATAAACATGGATAATAATAAATTAAATTAATAATTATTATTATGTTGCAGCATAACATACTCATTCCAGTATCTGATGTCTATATTTTTATCGTCGATAAACAACAGTTTTATTAGATTATTAGCAGTGCTTCCTTCGATGAACATATCTTGTACAAAATTCCAACCATACTTCAAAAAATTTGCTGTAGATAAAAATTAACGATAAAATGTAAACGTAGATACAAGAAGGTGATATATTATGATACATTTTATTTTTCATACATTTTACAAGATATAAATCAGGTTCCCAAACTTTTATTTCCGCGGTGCCTTTTTTTGGACCCAATTTAGCCACGGTGCCCAGCTGTGAATAACATTTAAGACAGAACAAAAAAAAAAACTTATCGAAAATCAATTTTATTAATTTTATTAAAATTTAACTCAAGTATAAATTAATGCATTTTTAAACTTAAAAAATAAATAAATAAAAATTATTGTTATTATGATTATATTTATTATATAAAAATATAATAAGGTTAAAATGAGAGTATCCGGATATAATACAATAGAAAATATTACATTATTTACTATAAAGTTTTTACGAAAACAATAAGGAAAAACAATTTTATACATTTTAAACTATTTGTTATGAACCGTAGACCGTGGTGCCCTTAGAAAGTGGTCGTGGTGCCCCTAGGGCACCGCGGTGCACAGTTTGAGAACTGCTGATATAAATCACCATATATTTACTTAATATAGTTTACAAAAAAATTTAAATAATTTTTTATCGTCACAATTTCTATTTTTCCTTGGTTTAATTGTTTGAACAAATTCGTTGTATTCTTATTTAAGAAAAATAAGCTGATTTTTCTGATATGTTGTGTGTCATTATTGAAAAGTGTTTAAATTAATTTAATAGTACAACCTGTTTATAACTTCTAGATACATAAGTATTCAAGATAAATATGTCATGCGTATTATGGATATAGTGATTAATTGAATAATAAAAAGTATACACAATTCGAAATTGCCGTTAATTATTTTGATTCAGCAAATTTAATTAAAATTACATGTTAATATTTAAGAAAAATAAAATCTAAAAGTCCACAAACAATTTTAACAAGAAAAATTATATAAAACAGTTAAGTTACTAATTTTTACTTTTTTTTTTTTTTGTAAAAACGTCAAGTTGACTAAGATTTTCAGTCACCTAAAATATTAATTATAATATATCATCTTATGTAAATAATTTATCTACTTTATTTAATATAAGATAATATCCATATAAAGCAACATTTCTAGTTTATGGGACATTTTTGAGTACACTTCAAAACCGGGCGGGGTCACTCGCTCGCTCGGATCGTTAAGAACAAAAATATCTCCCTATTTGCTATGCAACATCACCCCAAGTAGGTCACAGAATAAAAAGTAAAATGTGACAAATATAATAATACACGTAATATTACTCGTATATTATCATATAGATTTGAACGTAACAAAAAAAAATTGTAAAAATTTTTATATCATTCCAGAGATTTGAACCTAATGAGACCTATTATTTGAAAAAGCCGTGGTATCCATTGCTCCATGATAGAAATTTATAATTTTACCAATATAGGCTATTTAAACAAAACTATCAACTTTAAATGACTGTAACTAGAAAACTAATGATCAGCACCAGTTTTCGTTTGCGGTTATTATATTCAGCATTGAAAAATACATAAAACAAAAAAAAAAAAATTCCAAAATTTAGGGTGCCCCATAAAGTAAAAATATATTCATATAAAATGTAAAACGTTTGCACCTTTATTTGTGCGTCACACTTTCGACATTAACATTGGGTTGAAATGTAAATATTATATTTCTTATCCGTTCAGATTTACCATTATTTTGATGAACTCTGAATAGCATTATCCATGTGGTGATGAATAATATCGGAAGTGTTCGATACATTTTACGGTGATATTGATAACAACAAACTACGATAAACTAACTACTTACATGCAAGTTACTTATACAACTTATGAACATTTTTGAGCGTTTATATCATTGTTCAACAGTGTCGTTTATCATTGTTTACTAATTTTACTATTATGTCACAACACATTTGGTATTATCTGCAGAACGTTACATACACATATAATCATTTTTGAACAAATATAATAATGTTATTTGGATTACACGCGGAACAGTACAGTGTTACCATATTGTGTGTGTGTGAGCATATTGAGTTATATACGTATAATTTCGCCTTGTTTGCTAAATTTGACATGCACCACACAACTTGAACTATAGGCATTTACTTAAGGATGAGAAAAATTAATCGTTTAAATTTATAAACTTATGTAAATCGATTCACTAAAACGGTTCGTTTTTATGACTCATTCACTGACTCGTATTTACAGGGCCGTATTCAAAGGGTAGTTCGGGGAGGCAATAGCCACATTAAATATGGTGGCAAAATTTTTGCGATGATTCTAAATAAAAACAAATCGATTTTTTTGCATTCTAAATGGAAAATGATTTATGAATGATAAATAACATTATATAATAATAAATTTAATATTGTAAAATTATTTATATTATTTAGTAGTGTATACGATATGTTCCAACTAACAATATAAACAACAACAATTTTAAGATATTATTGAACAGAGATAATTACTTCCAAGCCATTGACTCTGTATAAATGAAAGTTTCAAATTATAATATGAAGGCGGTAAAATTAAGTTATACAATATTAATAATGTGTATATTATTCAATTTTAATAAAAAAGCTATAACTATGAATAAAAAAATATATTGATTGATTATTCTATTAAATTATTAGTTACAATGGTTATCACGGTTGTATTTGTGTCAGAGACATTCTGGGAGAAAAATTCAGGCAAAAATTTATTACCCAGGCCACATATTAATGTTTAGCTTATAGGCCGTTACTATAGTAAGGAAAGGGGAGGTAAAAGAGGGCTAAGCTTGTGTTCTACCTTCCCCAACAACACTACAAATTTATTTAATAATTATTTATTTATCTAATCTTTTAGTTTTTATTATATGTAAGAGGACATAAAAATAAATAAATAAACCTTCAATATATATCAATATTTTTGTGAGACTATTGTCTATTTATGTCTATTCAATTTCGAAGGCCTAGTTACGCATATCTCTGTGACTCTGTAATCTCCTTAAATAACTAAAAAAAAAGTTCAATTAGCAATAGATTTTTATAAATAAGCAATACCTACTATATGATTCAATTTTTTATAAACAAACCGAAACGAATATACATACATCAATTAAGCTTATATAATTAATTTTATATTTTAAATATAAATAATAAGTTAAGACATTTTAAAGACATGTTGAAAGAAGCTTACTTTTTTGTGACAATAAATCAATTATTTGATCATTATCAATATTTATCGAAATTTCTTTTTCAACTGACATTTACATAATTGTTTCAGTATTTTCATTAGTAAGTTTACTTCTTAACATATTTATTATATACTTTAAAGTAGAAAAATATCGTTCACAGACAACTTGGGTAACAGGAAGACACAATAAATACTTATAAGCAACTATTAAGACTTGATGAGCATTACTATATGAATTGTATTTTATCAATACTTTTAACGACACAGTGTACAGTTTTTACAACTATTACACATTACTTGACTTAATTTCTCAGCAACCCCGGCCCCTCATTTGTGTCAACGAAACATACACAATAATAATAAGGCTTTTCTGTATCCCAAAATACCCATATTAACCTTCTAGCGGGTGCACCATTGTAAATACTCGTAATACAAATATTTTATTTATATTTATTTATTCAACTTATATTATATTTTTATTTATCGGCGGTCATGGGTATTCTTCTGAAATGTTATTAACTATGTTTTAGATAACTTTTGAAGTGCAAAAACTTCTTTTCAAAACTATTTAATTTTTTTGAAAACTAATTATTTAAAAAAAAAGTGATACGGCCGTCAGGCCAATGAAAAATCCGAATAAATAGGTCAGGCCACCGGGAACGTCCCGGTATCCCAGTGGACTAGGTCGTCCCTGATTTGTGTAGGTTCATAGCTTTTACTCTATGGACCACTGGTATATGTATTTTTATATATTATATATTAAGGTTTATGTATATTCATGATAAAGATTGTAAAAATAAGTTTTTATTCAACTGTTATAAAATACTACTTGGTAAATTGGGGTAAACATAAGATGATATAGGCACAGATGGACAACTAAAGGGCCAATTTATAGAACTTTAAAATGGGCGGTCAGAGTAAAGAAAGCAAAAAATAAAAAAGTCATTAAAATTGTCAATAAGCATTTATTTAATATAATTTAATTTAACCTTAAACCATTAAAATGAACCCATACAATACTTACCAAATACCTAAAACTATATTAGCTATGCCAATATATTCAGACATTTAATAAATTAACATCAATTCAATACTAGAGAAAAATATAATACTTACATTTTACGACCTACGCGATAAAATGAAATACCAAGAAATACCAAAAAATGCTGAAATGTCATGAAGTAATTTGAAAATGTAGCACGAGGCAGACAAAAAAGTACGCGGACAGAATGCTGTCCGCAAACCGCCAGTTGCCCATCCCTGATATAGACTAATAAGCGAATTAAATGAATCATTTGTCAAAGGTTCAAAACCTGTTGTATAATAAATTATTAGTAAATAGCAAATCATATTACGAAGTTCGAAAATAGTCGGTTGGAGTATTTTAAACAATATTGAACGCATTGTTCTCATCTTCTGAATTTGAATTAATTCGTTCTCTGGAATGATTCGTTCATTTTGAATAAATCATTTGTAATTGACCCATCCCTATTTTGATCTATGTGATTGTTGGGCTACATTAACAAAAAATTCAAAAAAGTGACAATGAAAAAAATGTTTCTTTTTCTTATACACGTTTAATGTGTGACGCATAGAAGGATATTGAGGGTGACTTCGGTATGCTAAACTGCTGCAGATAGTTATTCTCATATTTATTTTAGTTTAGTCTGCTCACTATTTATTTTTAATTACCAAAAATTCACAAGTACCCCTATTTATAGCTCGCGTTCATGTTTATGTGTATTTTAAAGTATCTCAATTTAATAGATTCAAATAAAAGGGCAAATTTTTCTTAGATATAAAAAAAAAAGAAATGACAGCTTATTACTTAAGTCTGTTTATTAATAAAGGGTACCTACTTACAATTCAGCGTTTGGAATTTACTGTTTCTACTTTTTTAGAGACCAAATGACAAAATGAGTGAGAATATTAAAATAAAAGGTACAATAAGCGGAGGATTTCAGAAAGATATGGTTGATTAATTTTACAAATAGACCTTCAATATCTACTCATATATTATACATAGGTGTATATTTTATTTTTATTTATTAACATTTCATTTTGCGTTAGAGTACGTTCAGGGCACTCAGATCTAAGCTCAAAAACTGTTGAATTCTTTCATTTCCAGTATATAAATATGGTAGCTATTAATCATTTTATTTTATCTTATTTAATATGATGAATAACAATGGAAAAAAATAGTAATAATTGCTTAGCTAAATAAAATATACATGTGTTTTTAGATGATGGTTCACGGATATAATTTATCATCAACTTATTTTATTTTATAATTTGTATATCTTTTATTCAGATGACGTTTTATTATTAAAATGTAAACCATAAGGACTGGATTTATTTGTCTCCAAGAAGAATTTTCCTCTGGCACTAAAAATAAACCATATTATTAATTTAAATAAAACAAGTTGGTACTTAAAATATACAAACACGTTTACATATAAAAAAGAATTATATTTAGAATATATTAATAAATTTACCAGGGTGAAGCGTCGTGTCCCAAAAAAACTCTGGTTTCGTTTTCACACTTGCCGTCCTTAAAACTGGACCATGTAGAACATTTTACCGCGATAAGAGATTTTTTATGATATACAGAATCAGTATAGAGTTCATGTGCTCTCGAATGGCTACAAGATACTGTGGTCCATAAAATATACAACTACATTAGTTACGAATTTAACTTGTAGAGCATTATAAAAAACTTCATAATTTTTTCTTTTTCATATTAAGGTTTGTTCACCACTTATACCGTTATTTCTAAAACAATAACTATCAAACTTAAGAATAATGGATAGATAATTTTTACCATCCAATAGTTTTAGTTTTTTAATAACCTAAGATGGGAAAGAATAAAAGAATAAGGAAAATCTTGTACTTGATATATGAATATGAATGTGAATCGTACCAGTATTCATTGACTAATCGGAATACCCAGTTTTTTAATTTTAATTTATCGTATAGTTAATGAATAATAGAGGTTTAAAGATCTAAATAAATTATATAGTTACGAAAAAACTTATTAACTTTAAATATTCAATTCAACTCTTGATTTTGAATTATTTTTCAATTTATGTTTCTTTACATTGATAACGTTACGCAAATTAATTTTACTTACTAAAATCGAGCATTTTAATTAATGAAATGCATCCCGGTTGAGGTGCAAATCCGGAGTTCGGAAAGAAGTCCCCATGGCCTAAATTTTCCATATAGCCATAAGATCCTGCAGCTGTATGAATCACATCGACATACTCTGCGTCGGCTGAGCTCAGTGGTTTAGTATTAAAAGAAAAATACTCAAATCCGGGAGCTGCTGGATCTAAAGCTATAGCATAATATATATAGTATATAGTATATTATACTCTAAAATTATTTTTATATTATCATTATAAGAATAATTCGTAATCTATTGTACTTACCGGTGATTCTTCCAATTTTTCCCGATTTAAAATTAGAACCACATGACCCTGAAACATGTGCACCAAGACTATGGCCAATCAGATGTATATCTGATGCACGTAAGTTGGTAACTTTAACAACGTTATCCAAAAATTCTGCAATTTTAGCACCAACGGATGCAGTAGAGCGAGCTGGTATAGAATAAATTATATCATTTCCAATGCTACTCCAATCTACGGTAATGATGTTGTATCCTCCGGTGTCGACGTAAGCTAATTATTATTTCATATACAATTCATAAAATAATTTAAATAAAATACTTAATTTATTTGTTTAGGTCTAGTTTAAATAACTAAAAAATTAATAAATGTAACTGTTCATCTTTTAAATAACAAAATGTATTTATTATAATGAATAAATAATTAAATTATCAACTTCTTTAACATACCTGTTTTAATGACAAAAACTCCAGTGCTATTATTATCCGATGCAAGCCAACCGTGTGTAATGACTTTTAAAGGTAAATCTTTAATCCAGTATTTGAGTATACTTGATTCGTTCCCAAATGTAATTTGTATAGGTTTATCATTGCCAAGATCTCTATTGAAATATTTGAAAAAATGTTATTGTTTATATAATAAAAAAAAAAAATACTATACATTTGATATTATCATTTTCATAATTATGCGAAAAAAAAAAAACATTTATCTTAGAGAATTTAACACCATGATGGTAGGCCACACACGCAACATAATAATACCGATGTAGTATTTACCTATCGATTGTCGATTTAAAATTCAAATACCCTTTAATGTTTAATTTTTGTTGAATTCTTGGATAAACAATGCACCATGAAAAATTCAATCTCAAGTGTATTTAACAAGAAATTGAAAGCGTCTACCCACATTTTTATTGTTATATTTTAGACAAAAACAAGTAATATGTCTATATTTTTATACGAGCAAATCAATGACAAAAATTATATTTTAATTTCAAATCTAAATAAAACAAATATAAATTTATTTTATTTAATAATACTACTACTGATATAAAACACCTCATAATCAAACAGAAATTTAAAAGCCGTAAACAAATTTAAAGGATATTAATTGATTAACTATAAACCTATTAAGATAATAAAATAATATACTACGTACGAATTCCAATAGAGAAAATCCAATCGAGTCCCATTTATATATACATATTTAACGTCTTCGTCAGTATCCGAACTATTTTCATTTATTTGATCCAATGCTAAAAGTCGAACCAAAATGGACGAACAAATAATTAAAAATAATATTTATTTAATTTTCTAATATTGTGACATTATGTATTTTTATATTCCACTACATGGACAAAATACAGTTAACTTTTAATAGTTATACAAACCATTAATTAACTGCAACATTAATAATAACAGGACATTTATAGCGAAGATTTCCATTTTTTAAACTCAGAAAAATACGTACACTAATCATCAGACTTGAAATACAAAAGGTATTATTTTCAAACCAATGCCTTTTTATATTTTATAAATAATTGAAAAGTGTTTATCTAAAACATTTGTATTTTTTCAGAAGAATAATGAACTCAATAGTTTATATTTGCTTATGACTGAACCACACTATTTACTGCAATTAAGCAGAAAATAATGTTAACTAATTAGCCTGAACAAATTAAAAAATTTCCGAATCTTGGTACATTTTCAAAAATAGTATATTTAGACAAAAAGTTTCCTAGTATGTGGTGTGTGTATTTTTTAATCATTAAGCTCATAAACACTAAGCATGCAAACCCATATATAAAAGTTGGACAATACAACTTTAAAAAAGTACAAGTATCCAAATATTTAGGATTGTTATTGATATAAGAAATTATGAACTGATTAAAATAAAAGAAAGACTCCAATCCGGTTATAAATGTTATTATGGACTAAATAAGATATTCAAAACGAGAATAATATCGAAGAACCTCAAGATACAAATTAATCACTCGTATTTGTCCAGTGATAATGTAAATATATGAAATTTGGACATTGTGGAAATTTAAAAAAAAAAAACTGCTGATTTTCGAAAAAAAAATATTAAGATAAATTGTTGAGCCATGTATAGATGAAATAACGAGAGACTGGAAAAATTTAAAAAACAAAGAGCTTACACAGCTGTACCAAAGTCCAGATTAATGAAAATAAAAAGGAGAAGACTTCATTGAGCTGGACATACATGAAACATATATACATAGAACATACATAGGAACATAAGCGTGGATAGTTAAATGTGGAGCTCCGCAAGGAAAGAGACCTTTGGGACGATCATAGTTTAGATGGGTAGACGAAGTCAAGAAAAATCTACAAATGGTGGTTCCGAATTTCGATCGACATATTTTGGTAATGGATAGGAGAAAGTAGTACGAACTATGTTTGAATGAATGATCTCGATGGTCGATTATAAGGAAAAAGAAAAAACAGCTTAAAATTACGTAATACCCGTACACTGTTTTTGTATATTTTTCAGACAAGATAACAAAATGACGTTTTAAATTAAATTTTTCAACTAACAATAGTTCGTATGAAAAATTTGTCACATCAACAACGGAGTCGAGAGTGAACACATACAATTTCCTTCTAATATTTCCTGAAGCCATTAATACTTTAAAGTTTCAAGTGTAAGCAATTTTAATTTGTCACTTAACTATTATCCCCATATCCGCTGATCAGTGGTCGATTTGTCGACTTTTGAAATATTAGATTCGCCAGTCATTGGAGATAGTCTATGCAGACCATCTGTCGAACAGATATTTCTACCAGGTAAGGTATTTTAATCTTTTTCCAATCCGTTTAAGCCTACATTATTAAATATTTAATAAAATAGTAATTTTTAAGAAAATCTTAGGATGTATTTAAGGGTCAATTTTTAATATTTCAGGAAGATTTTTGGGTCAAATGAATTAAACATAAACGATTATTTTTGTAATTTTGAAAAATGTACTTAAGTTCTATAAACCTTATTCTTAAATAAATTATTAACAATTGTCAGATACAATTTTTTTCCTATAACTTGTTTCATTCTAGTATCCTATACTCATAAGCGAGTGGATACCTGTATTTAAAGGAATGCCTATTATAATTTTGGGCTTTATAATAACAAAACATGTAGGTATATTTAATAAATTATAATGTATATAGTTAAATAAACATAAATATAATTTTTTAATTAATATTGTGGTTATTAGTCCTATTGATATGTTTTCCTTGAATCTAGTATATTTCTTTCAGACAGCTTAATTATTTATGATTTGTACTTTTGTAGTCAATTTTAGCTGATGTGTTATCATAATAAGTTTTTGCACGAAAATTAAGTTTTAGTTTTTATTATATGAAACATGATTTATTTTTTGGCGAATATATTAGAATAAATTACATTTAATTTATGCAACATCAGTTAAAATAAGAAACCCTCATTTTTAGACATACGTTTTAGGGGCCCCGTTTACTACATTTAGGGGGATGCCCGGGCATCCATATGACTATACTCTGATAATGGATAATGTTGATTTTGAAAGTAGTAATTGGCTTATATTTGTTATTTAAAAATAACAGATTATTTGTTATATTATTATTACAGCATAAAATATTCTGTGATTATACATAAATAGTTAAAGATATAATATAATTTAATAAGATTTTTTTTTATTTTGAAAAAATACAATTTGAATTGTTTATATACAATAAAAATATATATTAAATTATAATTATTATTATTTATTATTATTTAATTTGATATTATATTATATTATATTTATGATAGTATTTAACGAAAGTTGAAGTATATTATAATTTATAAATCAAAGCTATTGAGATTGATTGTGTACACCTGTGTACGTAATAAATTCCTTAGTAAATTATCTTAATAGATTATAAATATATTCCGTAATAGTCACGTGGCACTGTCCGGAGTGACGTCCGACGTGGTAATCACTTCTCCGCCGTGGGCGGCTCCGGCGGGGGATCGAAACCGGCGGTTCAGTGCTGAGGATTTGTGCAGCCGCCAGAAGGGTGGACTAGCCGGCATTCTCGATTTGGCGCGTGAGATGACCCCCGTTGTCGTTCTCCACGTGCCTAAAACCATCCACATGTCTCAGATTGTGGATGTGTCGAGAAACCATGGTTTTGGACGCGTGGAGATCGAAAACGTCAGCGTTGAGGGGTAGAAGAGCTCCTCAAACGCTGTTCTCTACCTGGAGAGGTTGATCGAGGGCGGAGGAGCGATCAAACTGACCGTCTCTGAAGTGATGTTAAATCCGAAGTCGGTAGTAACGCCACCGAGACCATATGCGTAATCGTATGTTTAATCAGCAGTTGATGAAAGCCATCGTGATTCAGAACATTTTCATTTTATATATTTCTATACATTTGGATTTGGATTTTTTATCAAAATTTCCTCTAAATGATTACGCTATGTATCTAGATGTAAAAGATTTGACTTTAAATGATTTTTCTTTTAAAATTAAATTGGTAAGAATATTTTATTCAATTCTACAGCACTATAAAATAAATCATTAGTAGGAGCATTAATTATGTAAAAGGAATATTTTATAAGAAATTTTGGTGGTGCTAATTCTAAAAATCACGTACATCGAATATTGGGAAAGTTTTTTAATGACGAATATGCTACAAAATGTACGAGAACTGGTCGTGAAAAAAATAAAACAACAACAGTTGGACAATCTGAACTTCTTAATGTTTTAAAAAGTGAGAGAGTTGTAAAGTTTAAATTTTTTAAACACTTTTAATGTATTTGTTAGGAGAATAATTTATTGTTTAATTGATTTATTTTTAGACTAAATAATTAACTATTCTTTTTTTTAAATTTATTAGAAGTTGTGAAGGAGTGTAGCAGTGGTAATTCTGTAGAATTAACTGATTCAAAGTTTGAAAATATTGTAGCTGAGTGGTTAAGATATGCAAGCATAAGATTAGCCAGATCAAAGAGAGCTGACTAATTTTACTTTATTTTTATTTACCAAAATAAGATTTGAATGTTCAGTATTGCATTTTATTTAATATTTTAATGACAACAGTTGATAAATAATATTTTTTTTAAAACATTATTATACTAAAATAAAGACTTAATTATTAATATACTCTTAAATCAGTTACTATAATAAGCATAAATTAATTAAATTATTTATCAATTAATAATGTTAACACATGAAAATACTTATGATCTACAGAGAGATACATTTATTAGATGTAAAATATTCATCACAGTGTTTATTTGGATATAATATTTTTAATTTATTTCATAATTTTAGAAAATAAGTTGAAAGAAAAAATATTTGGGACTAGAAACAGCTGGACACTTCAAAAAAATTATAAATTTGGAAAAAAAGAAACATGATACCTCTTTCAATAAATTACAGCCAAATTATAATAACTGCGATCCATCCTCCAATAATTAATGTAACTACAATTGCTTCTAATTCTTCAAGTGTTCTACCTAATTATAATTTAGTGAAATATCCTTTGAATGATACATTTACAACTCAAAATAATACTCCATTGAATGTTTTAACCATTTCTTGAGATAACCCTATTACACTATATTTACAGCCCTATAATATTGACCTAAAAGATAAAATTTGATTTTGGATATTACATCATAAGGTATATCATAGTTGTGCCAATTGTATATTAAAAATTATGAAATCTGAAGGTTTACAAGTTCCTAGTGATGTGCGCACTTTGATGAAAACATCTCTATCTCATGAAATTGTTAATATGTATAACGGTTCATACATTCACTTTGGACTAGAAAAAATGTTAACTCCGATTTTAAAAAAGTACTTCAATAAAATAGATTTAAATAATGGTTTAAAATTAGGAATCAATATAAATGGCCTGCCAATTTCATTATCTTCTATAAATCAGCTATGACCAATATTATTATCAATAATTAACTGTAATGAATTATCTAATTTTGTAATTCCAATAGGAATATTTCAAGGATTAACAAAACCATTGGCAATTACTGAATACTTCCATCTTTTTTTATTTGATATTTCAGCATTGTTATATAGTGATCTTTGTGTAAATGATAAAATATTTAAATTTGAGATAGGTCATAATGTTTGTGATTCTCCTGCTAAGGCATTTTCATTGAATGTAAAAGGGCATAATGATTATTTTGGTTATTCATCATGTACTCAAGAGGGCAGGTATTTACAAAAAATAATGACATTTTCTGATATAGACGCTCCATAGAGATCTGATGAAAGTTAGGATAAATGTATAGAATAAATAGTAGGATAAATGAAGATTATCATAAAGGTGATAGTCCGTTAGAACTATTACCCATTAATATTGTAAACGATGTATGTTTAGATTACATACATAATATATGCCTTGGAATCACTAAAAGACTTGTTGACAGTGGCGTAGCGTGAGTATTGGCTGCCCGAGGCGGAAGACAATTTTGCCGCCCTCTTAATTAGGTATTTCGATTTAATGTATATTATACATTATATAAATTAATTTTAGAGAACTTTTCGACAAGAACAGTTATTATTATTTTAAATTATACAGGTTAAATTTTAAATAAAAAAGTTTATTTGTTTTACAATCACGTTTATTAATACAAAAATTTTTACTTCAACCATTGATATAACAGGTACAAAGGCATTGGCGCAGCTAAGGGGATTAACCCCCCATAAATATTCCATGTTATTCATGGCATACTGCATACAGTATACTTGACTCACAATAGTGTCACATACAAAAAGACACATTGCAGTAAATCCAACTAAAATACCTATGTTAACATGGTATGTAAGAGTAGGGGTAATCTACAGATTATTTTAAGTTTTGATAGGAGGGCTGTAGCACCCCCAGATATTTTACCTTAGTTGCCCCTATGTACTAAGGTATTATTTAATCATGTGATCGTCGAGGTGAACCCTGATTTTAAGTAGGTAATAGAACCTTCTTGTAGATACTTATACTTATTATAACTATCTTATTCCGCCCCAATTTATTTTATTCTTTTTATTTTTGATACTAAAATAAAAAAAAATTGTAATGATAAAAGTTAGTTACAAAAGAAACTATCAAACATTTCAAAAACTAGATATATTTTATACCACATCTATCTACGAGTATAGGCAAAAATCTGAAAACTATTCTAAAACTATATCTCAAAAATATTTGTCCGGAAACTTGGGTATGCGAGTGTAAAACTCGTACATAGCCGGATTTTAATAAATTAAAGTTTGAACAACATATCAGACAGTCCAACATACAATTACATCAATAAAATATTTAATACTTACACAGTTGAAGTAGGTAAACGTAGCGGAATATTCAAATTTTCACAAAGTTATCTAATAATTTCATAACCACTACACGTACTTATTTGCACAAAAATTACAATTACGAAACAGTGCGAACTAAACAACTGAAGATCCATGAATAAAACTTTCTTTGAATTGTCAAAGCATCACGTACTTTCTTAAAGAGACGTAATAAACAATATTGAACTTAATATATATGTAATAAAACTCATTCTCGCTGATTATAAGTCATAAATAATCCAAGCACAAAATATCATTCAAAGAAAGGGAATTCCCGAATTTATCACAGAATAAGTAATAAAAAATTCCGTGCTCTTTTCATTCGGTTCGAATTTATAGTTGCGTTAAAAATATGAAATGGTTCAAATATTTACAAAATATATTTTATTATTTACTGTGAAATCCCCCCCCCCCCATCACTATGCCACTGCTTGTTGAGTTTTGGGTAAAGGGTAAAAAAGATGTTCAACTAACCGAGGAAAATAGAAAACAAATTACTGTTGACTTATTTAAGCTTAGACCTTACATAACTTCAGAATTTAGCCGTCTGCCAAGAGCAATAGAAGATATAGATTATTGGAAAGTTATCGAACTTAGATCGTTTTTATTGTATTATGTTCCAATAATTTTAAAAGGGAAATTAAAAAAAAAAACTTATTTTCTCATTTTGTGCTGTTATCTTGTGGAGTTCAAATTTTAATAAGTAGTTCTATATATCAAACTCATAACAATATAGCTTTAACATTGTTTATACAATTTATAACTTTGTATTCATCATTATATGGTGAACAATTTGTTTCTTATAATGTGCATAGTTTGCTACACTTACCAATGTTTGTAAGAATTCATGGTCCACTGGATAATTTCAGCTGTTTTAACATTTTTTACAGTATGTAAAAAAATCAATTAAATGTGCAAAATATCCACTTCAAGAAATTTATTATAAAATAATTGAAAAACAAAAGGTGTTTGTATTTAACCCACTAAAAGAATGTAACTATTTGATACTGACAGAAATGGAAAACAGAATTCCTTCTACACATTCATACTTAACTGATACACTTTTTAAAAAAAAAATTTTACCTAATTTAAAAATAATTGTCTGGCAGTTATTAAATGCATTATAAAAAGTAATGAAAATTAAATTAAACTAATTGTTAATTCATTTTTGAATGTTTCGGAAAATTTTTCGTCTCCTATATTTTCTATTATAATTGGCTCATATTTAGTAGACCTGAACTTGGTATCTGAAAATATTACTATATCTATTGCTAATATCAGTGGCGTATCCATAGGGGGTTGGTTTCAGAACCCCCCCATGAACCTGAGATGGTAAATTAACTTTTACATGAAACACGGTTTTTTCTTTAACATTTTTATATTTTGAAATGTTGACTATACATATTAATAGTTTGTATAAACACTATAAATGTACCTATTATACACACGCTGCACACAAACACACACACGTCATAATATTATGATCATATTTAGATACTTTACTACTATTTTGATAATTTTTACTTGGGAACATATTATTTAGGTTTTCTTCAACGGTTGATTTTAAATCGGTCGTATAGTCCCGATAATTGAAATAGAAGCGATATTATTGTCTGTATTCTGTAATGAAATAAAAATGTGACTCAGTTCGTGATCTACCACCGACTGTACAACACGTGTGCTCGCCGATAACGTTTTATAGCTCTCGATAGCACGTACATACTCCACGGCTGGCGTTACCAGGTAATAATATGATTATACACCCAATTAATCACGTTATATAACACGGTCGCCTTTATTCATAATTAAAATGAATAGAAACTCCTTGGGCTTCTCGCCCAACACCAAAACTACTCTACAAACTAAATCCCTCACCACCAACATGTCAAAAAAACCAAGTGCTTTACCTACACAAAAAAATCGCAATTCACCATCTACGAATTCATACCAACACAACATATCCAACTCAAAAACAAACCCGACTTCAAACGATAAAAATTTGCGATCTAACCAGACCCCCCTTTCCCGTCCCATCGATAACACATCAGTTTCTGCTGCTATCGCAAATCAATTAACTAATGACTCCCTATCGTTAACGGAACACTCTACTCAACCCGCATCTATCTACACAAACACCAACATGAACTTCGCTAAGGCGACTGCCACGGAAAACACTCCGAGCAGAGAGCAAGCGATAGTGTTTAATTCTATCGACGGAATATCTCAAATCGATTACATAATCGCCATCGGGAAAATAGTCAAACCTAGCAACATTATCTTTGTATCACGTATTTCAAACCATCGTTTCTGTGTATTTTTATCCAGTAAACAAGTTCTCGATAATTTAATGCAACAAACACAGACTATTAAAATTAACGATCAATTAATTCAAATACGTAGACTTGTTAACCCGAATAAACGCATTGTCATGTCTAATGTATGTCCGTCAATCCCAAACCGAGCAATACTTGACGCATTAAAACATATAAATATAAATCCTACTTCTCAAATTAACCATCTAAAAGCCGGTATCAACATGGAAGGATACGGGCATATCATGAGCTTTCGCAGGCAATTGTACATTACACACGAAGATATTCTAAAACTGCCAAACTCAATGCTAATCACCCATAACGATAATCAATTTAGAATATTCCTCACGGATGATACGTTAACTTGTTTCCTATGTAAAGCCGTCGGCCACACGTCTAATAACTGCAAAAAAAACTCCGAAACATACTCTTCAATCGAACCTATAATTAACACAAATTCAATCAACGTTCACAACAACACCAACGAAACACAACTCACGTCTACAGATGATGATTCTCACCCCTCTGCCTCCAACTCCCAACCTGATGAAAAACAGGAACCTACAATCATGGACTGGTCATTAGATACAACTCTTATATTCGAACATAATGAAGAATCCCCATCAACGCCAACACAAGATGATACACACAAAAGACCAATCTCCGACTCATCGTCTCTAAAACTACCAGACTTTCCTACCAATCAAATATCCTCAAACACCACGGTCAAAAAAGAAAAAACTATTAAAAAAGCTAAAATTCGTTCTAGATCAAATTCATCTAATAGATCATACTCAAACTCAAACTCGGATGAACAAAAAAAACCAATAGAAAAATTCTTTACACAAAATGACAATCTACCTATCTCTTACCTACAATTTTTATACATACTAGAAAATTTTACTAATAAATCTATCAACATTCATTCACTTATCGAAGAAGTTAATATTGGTATACCTCCTCTAATGGACATAATAGATCAAATCAGACCACTAGTTTCTGATCGTTCAATAAAAAGCCGTCTCACTAAACTATCAAACTTCCTCTTCCAAGCCCAACCGCCTCTATCAAGCTAAACCACCACCAAACACATATACTATAATAGAATAAACAACCCTAGTTTAGTATATTCCTAACATCTATAATACACCTAATACAATATTATAAACATTATACAATGGAATATGAACGGGTTCTACTCAAAATTTGCAGAACTCCAATTACTTATTAAAGATTACACACCCACCATAATATGCCTACAAGAGACAAACCTCACAGACAAGAACAATCCTTCGTTATCTCAATACAACATCTATAAAAAAAACCGAAATACGTGCGACCGAGCCAGCGGCGGCGTAGCAATTTTCGTCAGTCAAGAATACCCTAGCGAAGAAATACATATAAACACTGATATAGAAGCTGTCGCGGTATCCATAACATTACCCCATAATAAAATAACAATCTGCAACCTCTACCTCCCCAATCAGAAAAATTTCAC